GGATAGTCGTTACTCGAAATAGTCAGTTTTTACCATAGTTAGTTTTAACCTGGCGATAATGAAATATATCGGCAGGCATTTAGGCATCTCCTTCATATAGTGATACCTCCTAAAAGAAAGAATTGAGATACAAAACTAAAATATTGAGGCACAGCTCTTATATAATGATAACGTCAAATATTTGCTAATTCCTAGTTATGTAATCAATATTGGTCCCCCTTGAGGCATAGCCTCATATTGCTATGATCTCTAAATTTCAGTAGTTTGAGGATTTTATACATATGTTCCACTCTAACAAGTGTTATCAATATTTGTCCACGTTTGGGGCTTTTCAGATTTTAGGAAAAATCTCCATGTATTTGGTGTACATAATGGTTTACATAAATCGGTTTGTAGATCGGTATAGGTCCACTTTTTGGTATGTTCCCGATATTTTAATTTCAAGTACCTTTCCGTATACCTATGGTGGAGGGTATACAAAGTTCAGCCCGAACTTAATGGTTTTATACCCTTCACCACACTGTGGTACAGAGTATTATGTCTTTGTGCATATGTTTGTAACAGACAAAAATAATCGAGATAGACCCATGATTCCTTTTGAGAATATGCATAGAATCCCTTTCTGAGTCGATTTATGCATGTCCGTTCGTCTGTCCGTCTGTAAATGCTGCACCAAAGTCCCTGAAAATCATTTGATTTACACGAATTTTGGCATAGCGTATTGAATTAAGTCTAGAATGACGTGTGCTAAATTTCGTGAAAATCGGTTCAGATTTAGATATAGCTCCCTTATATAGTTTCGCCCGATTTAAGGTAAATGGTGTATTAAAAATGTATCCCTATATATCTTTCGATTTGTACGACATTTGGTATTTCCTGAAAATCGGTTCAGATTTAGATATAGCTCCCATATAGTTTAGCCCGATTTTAGGGAAATGGTGCACCAAAGTCCCTGAAAATCATTTAATTTGCACGAATTTTGGCATAGCCTACTAAAATAGGTCTAGAATGACGTGTGCTAAGTTTCGTGAAAATCGGTTCAGATGTAAATATAGCTCCCATATATAGCTTCGCCCGATTTTAGGTAAATGGTCTACCAATGTCCCTTTATATCTTTCGATTTGCACGAAATTTAGTATAACGTACGGAATTGAGCCTGGAATTATGTCTGCCAAGTTTTGAGAAAATCGGTCCAGATTTAGATATAGCTCCCATATATAGTTTCGTCCGATTTCATGTAAGTGGTGCACCAAAGTCCCTATATATACTTCGATTTGCACGAATTTGAGCCCGGAATGATGTCTGCCAAGTTTCGAGAAAATCAGTGCAGATTTGGATATAGCTCCCATATATAGTTTCGTCCGATTTCATGTAAATATTGCACCAAAGTCCTATATATCTTTCGATTTGCACGAAAATTGGCATAACGTACTGAACTGAGCATAGAGTGATGTCTGGCAATTGTCGTGAAAATCAGTTGAGATTTAGTACAAAATTGAATAACGTAGTTGCGTTTTCTAGAAGTACAGACATAGCCCAACGGATGACCTATTGATATTTGAAACATATATCGATTTACATACTTTTGTCCCATTGTAACAAACGAATGACATGTTTATGTATAGATCTAGGTCGAATCACATTTAATTAAATATCACATATTTTATTTGTTACAATTTCATATTAATAGTGCTGTTTAATATGCCCATAGTGGTGAAGGGTATCATATAGTCGGCCCCGTCCGACTTTACTACTTTCCTTACTGGTTTTTTACTTGTTATTTTATAAGCATTGTAATTATGAGCTCTGTTGTCATGATATCATAACAACATATGAAATGCCATCTATTGGAAATTGTTGGCGTATCAATTACCTTATCTTTATACGTTAATGGCTTTGTTAACCATTGTTTTTCAATGTAAGCAAAGACATTCACCCGGCATTTATTGTAGGCTGGCAATTCGTTATGCAAAATTTATAGGAACGGGTCAGAACACTACTTTGTTTATAGATGGCGCTAGCAGTCATTTTAATACTCTTCATCACATCTATAAATAAAGTACATAATAATCAGAGTAAAATTCTATGGCGATTTAGCAATGTCCGTCTGTCCATCTTTTGAAATACACTATTAAGGGAACCCCCCCCCCATTCTCGATTTTATTTTTTCAAGATTTTCAATGGGCTGGTAAATCAAAACCAATGATTGAAGATTTAAAAAAGAAGAAAAATAATTTACAAAAAAATTTTGTTATTGTTTTGTTGTTGTTTTTTGTAATTAAAGAAAAGTCCTTATTTTTTATGGCGGGCATGGTAACTCCTCACTGGAACATCGGAATCCGAAAATTCCAACGGTGTTAGAAAGAGTACATGTCTGACTCTCGTATGAACTAGGATTATTGACTTCGCTCTAAAATTAAGAAAATGGTGGCCCTTTGAAAAAATATTTTTGAAAAATCGCGGATTTTTTACCAAAAACCAAGTTAAAAAATAAGGAAGATCTTCACCGATTGGCTTTATCCTAGTTCATACGAGAGCTATACACTCCCAGAGAAACGTTGCAAAATTTGGAACCGATTGGATTATTAGTTTTTGAGTTATCGTGCCCGCCATTCGCAAAAAAATGTTTAGAGAAAAACGCGTTTAAAGTTTGAGAAGCCCTTCAGCCGTGACTTGATGCTGACACAATAAATCGTATATATCTTCAACAGTTCTTGAGATTTTCACTTGAAATTTTGTAGAGACATTCTTTAATCAGTGTATATTCGAATTTTGACCCCGAGAATGGGGGGGGTCCCCTTAAACAAAAATCTCTTTATTTATGTTAAAACTTCGAAATATTAAGCGTACATTGCTACATTTTCGGCATTCAAAGGTTTTAAACAACACAGAAAATGAGCCCCATATAAAGGGCCCAACCCATTTGGGTAGGTGAATTTTCCATCAAAGTGTCTCTAATTCGCTGTAGTATAGATCCATGAGTGGTTGAAAACTTCATTTAAAGTAGTTGTCAGTATGCTAGAGGGCATAAAATGTTGGGCTCGATAATAGTTATAGACTTTCTACTTCCAACAAATATTTGACTATATACAAACAATAGTTAATATGATACTACGTTGTAAAAAAAAATTAAATAGCCTACACCTAATTCAAATAAAACAAGTAAGTAAATTCGGACGGGCCGACTATATGATACCCTTCACCACTATGGGTATATTAAACAGGACTGTTAATATGAAATTGGATGAAATAAAATATGTGATATTTATCTAACTGTGAATCGACTTCAAACAAATATCAATAGGTCATCCGTTGGGCTATGTATGTACTTCTGGAAAACGCAACTACATAATTCTATGTTCAATTTTGTACGTTGTGCAAAATATGATGTCAATCTGACTAACATGAGAAGTTTTATGTCCAATTTACTTAAAATCGGGCTGGAAAATAAATCTGGACCGATTTTCACGAAACATGACAAATATCACTCTGACAAACATCACTCGCTCAATTCAGTACGTTATGCCAAATTTCGTGCAAATCGAAAGATATATAGGGACTTTGGTGCACAATTTACATAAAATTGGACGGAACTATATATGGGAGCTATATCTAAGTCTGGACAGATTTTAACTTAACTTCGCAGACATCACTTAATGCTCAGTTCATTACGTTATGCCAAATTTGGTGCAAATCGAAAGATATATAGCGACTTTGGTGCACCATTTGCATGAAAACGGACGAAGCTATATATGGGAGATATATCTAAATCTGGACCGACTTTCTCTAAACTTGGCAGACGTCACTTTAGGCTCAATTCAGTACGTTATGCCAAATTTGGTGCAAATCGAAAGATATATAGGGACTTTGGTGCACCATTTACATGAAATCGGACGAAACTATATATGGGACCTATATCTAAATCTGGACCGATTTTCACGAAACTTGGCGACATCATTCTAGGTTCAATTTAGTACGTTGCACCAAATTTCGTGCAAATTGGCAGATATATAGGGTCTTTAGTGCACCATTTACCTTAAATCGGACGAAACTATATATGGAAGCTATATCTGAATCTGGACCGATTTTCTCGAAAACTGGCAAACATCACTCTAGGCTCAATTCAGTACATTATGCCAAATTTCGTGCAAATCGAAAGATATTTAAGAACATTGATGCACCATTTACCTTAAATCGGACGACAATATATATGGGCGCTATATCTAAATCTGAACCGATTTTCAAGAAACTTGGCACACATCATTCTAGGCCTTATTCAGTAGTCCCCTTTAGGGACTTTGGTGCACCATTGGGAGCTATATCTAAATCTGATCCAATTTTTCCGCAAATTTCAATAGGGTTCGTCCTTGGGCCAAATTTCATCCTATTCGAATAATAAATGCGACCTGTACTTTCTTTACAATTTAAAATGGTCAGACGGACGAACGGACGGACATATGTAAATCGACTTAGAAAGTGATTCTATGCATATTCTCAAAAGGAACCATGGGTCTATCGCGATTCCTTTTGCCTGTTACAAATATATGCACAAAGACATAATACCCTGTACCACAGTGTGGTGAAGGGTATAAAAAATAATTTCAATAAAAATCTATATTTTATGTACTGGCATATATTCGATATGACCAAAAATATTGTCACCCCGCCTGTCTACCATCACTTTCTAATTGTTAAAAACCTGTTCATTTATTATAGTCTCTTCCAATTTTAATTTGAATACAATTGTTTCAGATCATAACTTCAATGAAGATCAATTTAGCATATCTTGTTTTAGCATATAGGGGCATTTAATACTAAAATACACGTTGAATAATATTTATTACTCAGATTTAAAAATATGCATAATAATGTGTTTTACAATTGAAAACGATAATCTCAACATCATTCTATCAGTATCAGACTTACACTTCGCACAAGCAGTTCACAAATGCGGACAAATTGCAAATTGAATTATTACGAACAAAACCCGCAACACCAAGATGACGCATATTTTACAAATATTTGTTGTCATAATAACACTTAGGCTCGGTCTAGTGTTCGGTGATCAGAGGTATGTAGGTTCCCACGCGACTCATGTACATCTATTAAGTTCTGAAGTCACGTGATTTATATTTCTTGTTTTTTTTTTTTCTCTCTCTCTCCCTTTTGCGTTCGCTGCAGTCACTATTCTATCATTGCCCCCGGCACACTTAAATCAAATCGTAAATATAGTGTTGTTGTAACGCTACACAATGCCACCGAACCGGCTACAATACGTTGTGGTATTATTGGACCATCATACAATCAAACTGAAAATATTGTTCTACAACCATTCGAATCGCAACAAATCGATTTTATGCCAACAAAACTGAAACGAGGTACCCACATGTTTTACGCCGAAGGTTTGAATGGGTTGTCATTTAAAAATGAAACTTTGTTGTATGTGGAGGAGAATGCCGGTCCAAAAATATACATACAAACTGATAAAGCTATCTATAAGCCATTAGATTTGGCGCAATTTCGTGTTGTTATCCTTGATGAACATACAAGACCGTTGAACGTCACTGAACCGATTCGTGTGGAGATAATGGTAAGTTTGGCAAATTAAATGAGAACATAATTAAAACATGATGAAACCTGACAATGCCTCTATTTATGACCGTCTGTCTGTGCATGTATGCTTTGTCCGAGTAATAACTAATGATGTAACGGTAACACTGTGCAAAGACATAGAAACCGTAAAGACTAGACAAAGTGCATTTTGACGAAATAGTTTATTAAAAAATATCCAGGGGGAACCAGGTATAAGAGAGTCATGTTAGGAAAAAAACGTCAATACGCGATAATGTGTGTATAAAACGTAAATAAAATCAGAGATCTGCACTCAAAATATATGTTTATACCCTTCACCACAGTGTGGTACAGGGTATTATGTCTTTGTGCATATGTTTGTAACAGGCAAAAATGATCGAGATAGACCCATGGTTCCTTTTGAGAATATGCATCACTTTCTGTGTCGATTTATGCATGTCCGTCCGTCCGTCCGTCAGTCCGTCCATGTATTTTTGTTAACAAAGTACAGGTCGCATTTATTTTCCGATTTGGATGAAATTTGGCACAGGTCACTTAATTGGTCCAAGGACGAACACTATTGAAAATGGAAAAAATCGGTTCAGATTTAGATATAGCTCCCATATATAGTTTCGTCCGATTTAAGGTAAATGGTGCACCAAAGTCCCTATATATCTTTAGATTTGGACAAAATTCGGCATAGATTACTGAATTAGTTCCTGAATGATTTGTGCCAAGTTTCAAGAAAATCGGGTCAGATTTAGATATAGCTCCCATATATAGTTTCGTCCGATTTAAGGTAAATGGTGCACCAAAGTCCGTATATATCTTTCGATTTGCACGAAATTTAACACAGAGTACTGAATTAGGTATATAATGATGTGTGCTAAGTTTCAAAAAATCGGGTCAGTTTTAGATATAGCTCCCATATATAGTTTCGTCCGATTTAAGGTAAATGGTGCCCCTATATACCTTTCGATTTGCACGAAATTTGGCATAGAGTACTAAATTAGGTCCTAAATGATTTGTGCCAAATTTCAAGAAAATCGGGTCAGATTTATATCTGGGGTAAATGGGGCTCCAAAGTACCTATATATCTTTCGATTTTCACGAATTTTGGCATGGGTTACTGAATTAGGTACAGAATGATGCGTGCTAAGTTTCGTGGAAATCAGTTCAGATTTAGATATAGCTTAAATATATATATTCAACCGATTTAATTTAAATTGTGCACTAAACACCCAAAGATTGGTCGATCGTCACACAATTTGGTACAATGTACTGTTACTATAACCTTTCGTGTGTCAATTTTTCTTGAAATTTGTTCAGATTTACATATATCTTCTATATATATTTTCCCATACAGACCCATACACGTACAGAAATTAATAAAAATTAATATCTAGCAAGTTTGCTTGAAATCGGTTCAGATTAGGTTCCATATATAATTTCGATCTATTCATGTTGACTGTACACCAAATAATCAATGGGTGCCTGATAGATACATTTTAAATAGTGCGTGTGCTTTAAATCTATTAACACAATTTAGAATAGGTTGCAGAATGGCATGTGTTGGAATTGATGTTATTCGGTTTACTTATAGATAAATATCGCATATTTAAGTTCGTTCAATTTCATGCAAATGTTCCTTAGAAAAGGCGACGTCTTTTAGGATACATATGTATAATATCCCCAAAGTGGTGAAGGGTATAATGTAGTCGGCCCAGTCCGACTTTACTTTCCTTACTGGTTTTATATTACAAGCTTGCGATATACTTCCTAAAATGTTTACTGTGTTGTTATGATATAGTAACAACAGAGGAAAAGCCATCTATTGGAAATTGCTTACGTATCGATTGTCTTATCTTTATACTTTTATGTCTTTGCACTCTGGCTTTTGGAAATTCGAACTATATATATATATATATATATCCTAAATGTACGAAAATGTACTAAATTTAGTACGATTTCGTAGCATGTGAACGGAAATTTGAAATGTGAATTAAAGTTGTAAAGTAGGGTCGATATCAGGAGATGGTTTTGAAAACGTGCACTCATGTATACGAAAAGTACAATATGGTACTTTTTTTGGTAGAATGTCAATTCGGATGTACAAATGGAGCTGGGATCCTGATCCGGAGTGTAATATAGCGATATGTAGGAAATAAGATTCCTTCTTCATCTCTACAGGAGGATGTGCCTGCACCAAAGCCTTCGGTTTGGTGTTTTACTCGTTGGTAAAATTTCCGGACTTCATTCTGACTCCTGTACATCTCAAACTGCTCACGCTCACGTTTTTCTTGTTCTTTCTTCTTTTTTCTGAAAACACGTTTCTCCTCTCCCCTTTTCTCCGGATAATTCTCCATCACGTTTCGTGTTGCTACTGTCTGCAGGGTTGCCCTATACGCTGCGTTTCTCACATAAGTAGCATTACGGCACTCCTGATCGAACCATGGGTTTCTTGGTGGTGGTTTTTGGTACCCAATTGTTGTTTTTGCTGCATTTTGTAGGGAGTCGGAAATTCTTTGCCATTGTGCTTCTATACTATTATCGGGACAAGAAGTGCTTTCTTCAAGCAGATGGGTAAGTTGAGCGGGGTAGGCCTCGGCTACCTGTTGTGTTTGCAGCTTTTCGACGTCGAGTTTCCGTGTTGTATTAGATCGCACCTTTGCTGCAACATTAAGACGGGTGCGCACTTTGGCTGCCACAAGGTAATGGTCCGAATCGATATTCGCTCCTCGGATCGATCGGACGTCTTAAAAAACTGGATGAATGACAGCGTGTTGAGGATCTGGAAGGAGCATTTCGAAAAGTCTCTAGTATCAAATAGTGGCGATAAAGAAGATACCCCAGAACCAATAAGAGATGATGGTATAGAGTGTATACCACCTAGCCAAGATGAGGTCATAAAAGCAATTAATCGGCTCAAGAACAACAAAGCAGCAGGAGCCGATGGGTTACCAGCCGCACTATTCAATACTGGTGGCCAGAAGCTGGCACAATTTGGCTAGATGAATGCATGCCCAATAATTGGAACCTCAGCATCCCGTGTCCCGTGCACAAAAAAGGAGACAAGACGATATGTGCCAACTATAGAGGAATAAGTCTCCTTCCCATCGCATATAAAGTGCTATCCAGTGTGCTGTGTGAACGATTGAAGTCAATGGTCAATGACATCATCGGACCATACCAATGCGGCTTCAGACCTGGCAAATCCACTATTGACCAGATTTTCAATCTGCGCCAAATCCTGGAAAAGACCCACGAAAAACACATCGACACATACCACCTATTTGTCGACTATAAAGCCGCATTCGACAGCCCTATCCGTTCAGAGATGTTTAAAGCCATGTCTGCGTTCGGCATTTCTGCAAAATTAATACGGCTATGCATGATAACTTTAAGTGGCACAAGGTCAGCAGTTAAAGTAGGAAAGGACCTACCCTTCAATACCGAACGAGGATTCAGACAAGGTGTCAGTTTATCGTTGATTTTTTTAAAATCCTACTGGAAAAGGTCATACGAGACGCAAAGGTGAACAGAAATGGCACTCTGTACACCAAATAACACATGTTACTCGCCTACGCCGATGACATCGATATAATGGGTCGAACATTGCGAGCGGTAACAGCCACCTTTGAACAAATTGAAAAGGAGTCTGCCAAAGTGGGTCTGGCAGTAATCGGCGAGAAAACCAAGCTGATGGTATCACAACACGCAAGACGTGTTGATACCATCAACAACAAATGACATCAGTTTTGAAATTCGGAGAAGGATTGTTATGGCCAACAGATGCTACTATGGTCTAAATAAGCAGTTTACACTTTTTACTTTATGGTGAATCAATTATGTAGGAATACTGAAATTTGGAGATAGGATCAATGTTGGGGGACTGAGGAATGTAGAAAGTTTTTTTTTTTAATTTGTACAAAATTTGGAATAGTTTTCTTGGAAGAACCGATAAAGCTGGAATGTTGAAACTTGGTGTTATGATCACAGTTGTGATGCAGGCTGGTACTAATGCAGGAATACTGAAATTTGGAGATAGGATCAATGTTGGGGTGTAGGACTGAGGTATGTAGAAAGTTTTGGAAATTCGTACTTATGTGTACTAAATGATACAATTTGGATTTGGTTTAAATAGAATCTAAAAATTTGGAAATATGATTTCTTTTGGATTGTTGAGGAAATTATATTATGGAATTTATATTATTGTGCACGAAGTTTGGTACAATTTGGATTGCGTAAACCGTATGGGGTTGAATCTTGAAATTGGGAAATAACATTTCTATTTTATTAATGGATACTAAAATTGAAAATGTTTGGATTTTGGTAAACCTATAGAACTCGAATAATGGAATGTGGAATTATTTTCGGAAATAAATACTAAAAGAGTTCCAAAGGTAATAAATGTCACCAAATTTAGTATAGAGCTACATTGCTGGAAAGAATTAGTGTGTAGTGTTGAGATATGGAGGCCCTTTTGGATATACATACTTTAAGACAACAAATATACTATATGATACTAAAATGGTTGATATTGGTGAGTAGTTTTAAAAGTTCTTCTGGCATACGAGTTTTTTGCGAAAATTTGTGGGAATTATTAAAATGGTTGACATCTTTTAATAATTCCCACATTTTTTATACCCTTCACCACACTGTGGTAAAGGGTATTATGTCTTTGTGCATATGATTGTAACAAGCAAAAGGAATCGAGATAGACCCATGGTTCCTTTTGAGAATATGCATAGAATCACTTTCTAAGTCGAATTACGCATGTCCGTCTGTCCGTCCGTCTGTCCATGTTAAATTGTAAACAATGTACAGGCCGCATTTATTATTCGAATTGGATGAAATTTGGCACAGCTCATTCATTTGGCTCAAGAACGAACCTAATTGAAATTGGGAAAAATCGGTTCAGATTTAGATATAGCTCCTATATATATATTCGTCCGATTTAATGTAAATGGTGCACCAAAGTCCCTAAATAGCTTACGATTTGCAGAAAATATGGCACAGCGTACATACTTAGGCCTAGAATGATGTGTGCTAAGTTTCTTGGTTCGGTTCGGATTTAGATATCGGTTCGGATTTAGATATAGCTCCCATATATATATATATATATATATATTCGTCCGATTTAAGATAAACGAAGCCCCAAAGTCCCCATATATCCTTCGATTTGCACGAAATTTGGCATAGCGTACTGAATTTTCTCATGACTGATGTGTGTCAAGTTTCGTGAAAATCGGTCCAGATTTAGATATAGCTCCCATATCTAGTTTCGTCCGATTTCATGTAAATGGTGCACCAAAGTCCCTACATATCCTTCGATTTGCACGAAATTTGGCATAACGCACTGAATTGAGCCTAGAGTTATGTCTGCCAAGTTTCGAGAAAATCTGTCCAGATTAAGATATAGCTCCCATATATAGTTTCGTCCGATTTTATGTAAATGGTGCACCACCAATTAGTATAACCTAACCTGTGACAAGTTTGTTTGAAATCGCTTAATATTTGGATAGAGCTTCCATATATATTTTCGCCCGATTTCAAGTAAATTGTTAGTCTGTTTGACATCAATTTTTGCACAACTTACAAAATTGAGCATAGAATTACGCAGTTGCGTTTTCTAGAAGTACAGACATAGCCCAACGGATGACCTATTTATATTTGTTTGAAGTCGATTTATATATTTTATGGATAGATCTAGGTAGATTCACATTTACATAAATATCACATATTTTATTTCATTGAATTTCATGTTAATAGTCCTGTTTAATATACCCATAGTGGTGAAGGGTATCATATAGTCGGCCCCACCCGACTTTACTACTTTCCTTACTGGTTTTTTATTACAGGATGCCAACGAAAATCGCGTTAAGCAATTCAAAGATATTTCCTCATTCATGGTGTCTTTACAAATAAATTCAATTTATCGGAATATCCTGCACTCGGTATATGGAAAATTGCGGTATTCATTAGTGGCAAATATGGACATTCTCATTCGAAGACGTTTAAGGTGAAAAAATATATCCTTCCGAAATTCTATGTAACAATTGAAAATGAACCGACTGTTACTTCGGCTAATCCAATTGTCCATTTAAAATTCTATGGAAAATATAATTTTGGAAAATTTGTTGAGGGTATTGCTACAGTAAGAGCAACAGATACTTTGGGAAATCTCATAACGCCAGAACAAAAAGTAAATGTGAATGGCATAGAAACACTGGATATACAAATTAAAAACTTCGAAAAATATATGATATATAAGAGTATAACACTTTATATTCAAATTACCGAAAAACACAGCGGACGTTCAGAATCAACATTTAGCTTTGTCAATGTCCAACAACAAGAATATAATGTAATTGTAGAATCATCAGATATTGATTTTAAAGATGGTAAACCATATCGTCTGAAAGTTAAAGTGCAACAATGGAATGGTACTGCTGTTAGAGATCCCAGTGAACCGGTCTATATGATACATGGTGAGCGGACCTACCAGTCACAGTTGAATGATGATGGTGTAGCGGTATTTGATTTTGAACATAATTCCGAGGAGAAACATATATTCAAATATCGAGATTCTTTAGCAATGTTACCGAATATCTACAATGCTGATGATGCTGTGGATAATAATAATAAGGAGGATTTTTGTAAATTGCTTTACTTAGTGGCAGGTGAGTGATGATAAATACAAAAGAGTGCTAAGTTCTGCTGAGCTAAAGAGATACTAAGATTTTTAGCACAATTAAATTAACTACAATGTTATACAAGCTCATCAAGTCGAAATAAAACCAGATTCTTAATAATAACTTCTTAACTTCTCTTTTCAAAATAACCTATCTAGATGTATGCCTTTCTAAGAGGAATAGAAAGGCATACATCTAGATAGGTTATTTTGAAAAGAGAAGTTATTAAGCTTCGCTATATATCCCACAGTAGAACATACTCTTCACCTAGTCTAGGATTGTTGTGTGATCTGAAAATTTTTAACTATCTCTTGCCGATTATAAAACCAGTGAGCGGGGCAGTACACACTGGTTCCCCCATACGACAAAAATAAAAAAAATCGAAAACAATATTTTGGATCAGTAACGAAACAAATTATCGCTAATGCCTTCAAATTTAACTACTCCAAAGTTTTTTTATTGTTTTCTAACGGGAGTTTAGAAATACAGATATTAGAAGTGAGTGCAGTTGAAGTGTGGTTGCTTAAGGAAAGTTAGCACAAAAATTAAATGACATTTAGAAAGTGAAAATATAAATAATAAGTTCACCAAATTAAATATAACGATTATGGAGGTTAAAGGTAATGGTATTAACATGATTTTTACATATATATACATTTATAAATTATTGTGTAGTTTTTCTAAAATACTAATTTAAACATGCACCTTTTTGGGGTTATTTTTTCCGTCTTCGTTAAATCTACGTAGAGTTTTAAATGTGTTCCCCCCTGATTCCCTCGGTCATGTTTGGTTTTTAATATTGGTACATTTGTCTATATTTCGAAAAAATTTGTTTCGTTTGCGGAAATTTGCGGATGAGTGTTTAAGCAGTAATATACTAACCCAGAGTCGTGTGTAAACATTTAACTTTTGGTGGATACGTGCTGTTGTTTTTGAATGTAAATAAGGAAAAGTGTTGTTATTATTGTCAAATTATTTATTTACATTTTTCATCTTATCAATGCATTTTTTTCGCATGTATGTTTTTGAAATTTGGTGTTCTAAAAAGGGGAAGGAGTCTGAAAAAGTTCGAGAGGTGTTGGATGAACTACGTGCAAGTATTGAAATGGAAGGTGAAGAAGATATGTTTTTTGATCTATCGCAATGCGTAAATTACATTTTTAAGAAAATAGTCGTACTATGGCAGAAAAACGTTCGGAAAAAATCATCCGTCTTAAAGTATCATTCCCAATGGTTGGGCTTCAAAGATGTTATTGCATTAACGACAGATGCCGCTTCTATAACAATTACAACGCATGAATCATCCTCAAATAAAAAAACGTGGGCGTCCACAATCAGATTATTCCCAATCTTCAAAAAGAACTAAACAACGAAGATTGGCAAAATTGGCAGAAAATGATGAGTCCGCTGCTAATGCCCTACGTGAGACAGATTCTGTACCTTCTTATGTGGAATTAAATACCAGAGAAGTTCTATCAGTCATACTGGAAACAAATTTATCAAAACATCAGTATTTACTTATTCGGGAATTTATAAACTCTAAACTGTCCTTTGATTTGTTACAGGGTTATAAGAAGGTTCTAAAGGAAAAAAAGAAAAGTTACCCCAATAAAATTACAGTAAGTGAATCGCATGCTGAAGTCGACTTGCAAAGTTTACTAGACCACACGGCCTCGCGCATATTAGATCTCCAAAGCGACGTGCTGAAAGATATTCCCAGTGAATCTGTAAACAAACATGTTTTGATAGGTAAATGGGGATTCGATGGTAACACGGGTCATAGCGAGTATAAGCAAAAATATAATAATAACAGAGTACAAGACAGTAGTTTATTTGTAACATCATATGTACCACTTCGACTGGTAACAAAATCTACTGAATTACAAAATTCTAAAGTTATTTGGAAAAATCCTCGACCGTCATCAACTCGTTATTGCAGACCTGTTCGATTTCAAAACAAAAAAGAGTCCAACCAAGTTTCTATACACGAAAGAAATTATTTTAACCTGCAAATTACCATGTTAAACTGCACAGAATAGTATACATCTGAAATGCAAATATGCGTTGAGCACAACTTACAATTAACTGTGGTTGATGGTAAAGTATGCAATGCTCTAAGTCAAACGTCTTCTGCAAAATGTTACATATGCGAAAATGCTTTTTCTATTTGATTCGTGAAGTATCCATAATTTTGGTCTGACTTTTATTTATTATTTTTATTTTATAATTTAAATGCCCATATTCGGGTGGCACCTTTATATTAAGACTATTCGAAAACGTGGACCGATATTGAACATTTTTAGTTTGGTGCTGTTTTGCCCACGGAGAACTCAAAATACCAAATTTCAATCAAATATGTTGGAAAATGTAGCTAAAATCTTCAAAATATGTCAAATCTGATGGGACCGTTATATGGGAGCTATACTAAAACGTGGACCTACATGGTCCATGTTTCTGTCAAAATGTTGTTTACCCACAACGAACCTATACTAAAAATTTCAGATCGATAGCTTGATTAGAAATATTTTTGTCGCTCCCTCCCATACAAAGGGAACCACTGTGCAGTATAATCGGACGGGGCCGACCATATGATACCCTACACAACTTCGACGAAAATCTAACTTTATATGGTTCTATATTCAGAGCTTGGGCAATATTTCGCGATATTTGCACCCTCTTGACCAACTAGATGTTAACAAATATTTCAGTAGACGAGGGGTGTACTTGTCCAGATTCTCTTTACCGTGGGTTATGTTGTGATGTTGGGCTTTCAATTGTGGCCTACAGATCGACTCGAAAACAAAAACACAAAAAATAAGTTTTCGGTCCACTTCATCCCAAAATTATAGGCGTTGTCGTTGATCATAACGGGAATCTCGTGGAAAATTACAAAGCGATTAGCGATATATTACCGCCCTCTAGTGTGCTAATGGGTTACTAAATAATGTCGGAATACGTAAGCACCTGTAAATATTTAAGTGTAACTCCTACATCCGAGTACACACGACAATATAATTGGTACCAATTAAAGGTCAACCACTCCTCTTCAATAAACTATCATCTTTTCGGGTCTATATCCTTCAGGAGTAAATATATATGCCATACAATAAAAATTTTGTAATTTTTCACACAAAAGTCAGGGTCCATTTGACCCGTTAAATACTGACCGATTTTTATCAAAACATGCATGCTTATTCTTTGGCCCAATTCCCTTCTCCATGGAAAAATTCGCGGTGTTTGGGCCATAAAAACCGACAAAAATAAAGTTTTAGGTCCATTTCATCCCCTAAATATTAAACGATAGGGGTCTTCAAAAACAATAGGGGTCTTCATTGGCCAAAACCCATCCTACATGCGAAGATTTCGTGAAGATTGGTCCATAACTGTGGCCTGTATCGTGTTTACAAATTATAATGGACAAACGGGTCTAGGACCAATATTTCGCGGCGTTACGAACTCTTGGGGTTGCACAAAGCTATAATACCCTGACAACATAGTTGTGTAGGGTATAATGATCAACAAGACCGGACTTAACCCTCCTGCTAATGCAATTCATAAATTACATTTTTTATTACTTAATATTTTTCTCCTTTTAGTCCTCAACTTGGCAAAGTGATTGAAATTAAAGTTTCCTCCTTAAAAAATATACCATATATTGTATATACCCTAACTGGTCATGGAAATATCATACAAACGGAATTCATTAAAATACCATCCGAACAAAAATCTTACATAATTCAATTAATGCCAACAATAGAAATGATGCCTGCAGCCTATTTGTATGTTCATTATATTCACGAAGGAAATTATCGATATGAGGAAATGTTTTTGAAATTCCCAAATGAATTTGAAAATAAGGTAAGAACGCATTAAATACGTTTTTATATGGAAATTAATATTTTTATCTTTAGGTTGAAATTTCAGCGCCACATGAAGTCCGACCTGGACAAAATGTCACCATTAACATAAAGGCTCAACCGAATTCATATGTATGTCTATTAGCTGTGGATTTGGGTGTCTATAATTTAAATAGAGAATATGATCTGGATAGAACACAAATACTAAACGAATTACGAGATGATTTGACATATAGTCCGTTAAAGTCCAAATTTTATCCTGGTATAATTTCGGGGCTTTTGACATTTACTAATGCCCATTATCCATATACTGAGGTTACAGGTAAGGAGTGTGTGTGTATGTGCGACTAATTTTATTATATGTACTATGTAAACATTGTGGGTACGAGTGATATACAGGGGTTTTTAACAATATCTTAAAATTCAAGGACCACAATGTGTTATTTAAAAAAGACCAACAAAATATTTAAAAAAGTAAAATATTTTAAAAATTCATGCTTTCTCAAGTACCCCAAAAAGTTATTTTAAAAATCCAAGTTCTATCAAAGACCACAAAATCCACGTCTTCTCAATGACCCCCCAAAAAACGCGACGTCTTCTCAATGACCTCAAAACAAAAAATAAATAACTTTAAACATCCATGCCACCCAAACAAAAAATTATTAACTTTAAAAATCCACGCTACCCAAATGACCTCAAACCAAAAAATAAATAACTTTAAAAATCCACGCCATCCAAATGGCCTAAAAAATATTTAAAAAATCCAAACCACCCAAATGACCTAAAAAAATATTTAAAAAATCCACGCCACCCAAATGACCTAAACAAAATATTTAAAAAATCCACGCCTTCTTAAGAACCTTAACAAATTATTCAACGCCTTTTAAAAGACCTCAACAAAGTATTTCACAAATCCACGCATTTCTACGGACCTCAACAAATTATTCTTAAGCCTCCACAAAATGATTTAAAACCAGTGAGCGGAGCAGTATAGTCGGACGGGGCCGACCATATGATACCCTACACAACTTCCATGAAAATCTAACTTTCTGTGGTTCTATATTCTGAGATTGGGCAATATTTCGCGATATTTGCACACTTTTGACTGGCTAGAGTTCAGAAAATGTTACTAATAATCAGTACAGACCCTCTAATTACTTGTCCAGATTCCCTTCACCGTAGGTTGTGTGGTGATGTTCGGCTTTAGACTCGAAAAGTACAAATAATTAAGTTTTCGGTCCACTTCATCCGAAAAATTATTTTCTAATCATCACCTAACATTTTAGGCGTTGTCCTTGATCATAACAGAAACCTTATGGAACATTTCAAAGCGATCAGACTATATATCCGCCCTAATATATGAATACGTAAGCACCTGTAAATATTTAAGTGTAACTCCCGCATCCGAGTACCTACGACAATATGATTGGTATACATTTAAAGGTCAACCACTCCCCTTGGATATACTATCAACTTCTCGGGTCTATGGCATAGAAATACTGGATATTGAAATTAAAAACTTCGAAAAATATATGATACTAGCTGAACCCGTGGCGCTTCGCTGCCCCTACTAAAGTTATTAACATTGGAAAACTATTTGTAGGCATTTCGTAGTGTATCAGTAATAATTTCGTAGCAGCCGGTCTATGCATTAGTATATTTGATTCTATTCAATAGATTACAAATACATTTTTAAATAATCTTTGAATAACGGTGGTAATATTAAAAACAAATTTAGCTTGACTTTTCTAATCAGTTGTAACAGTACCATACAAAAATATATTTTCTCCAATATTTACATGTTTTTCATTATTCATTCCAAGCCCACTACAATCCTTCATTTACATTACATAAATTTTTATGTCTGTATTCTCAAATATTTCCCCATGATATGATTGGGATCCCTTACTCCTCCGATTAATATCGCTTAGATACCTGACGTATGATCCTTGTTAAGTTTGAGTTGCGTATTTCTAATTGTTTTATTGCCAAGAAAAAATCATAATAATGCATTTATCACATCATAATATTTTTACCGAACCTAGATATAGTTTTGTTACTCTTAAAAAACCAGGATCAAGTCCGAAGATAGGATTTGTGGCATTTGAGTTAGTTATTTCCTCTATAGATCCTCGAAATATATCAGCTATAATGATAAGCCACCACAGATTTCGGACTTTTATAACTTTTATTCCACAATCAGCATTTCTCTTTTGGATATCTCCCATATTGAATTCATAGTCTTTTTCTTCAATGGTGGTTGAATTTTTTAAATTAAAAAATCCAAAATTTTATTTTTTTCACAAATTGATAAAATGTAATAATTAAAATGTCAAAATTTTTTCGTTTTACACAAATGTTCTTCCAATATGTAGATAATGGAGTGTTGAAAAACAACATACGTTAGCGAAATTACTGAACTGGTGGTTTTTAGCATTACTGATAATAACATAAAAGGACCAAAAATGATGAGTCGAATATTATCGATTTGGACAAATTTTGTTAATTTCTGGTCGCTTAAGATTTGTATGTAATTATCTGCGTATCATAAAAATTTTATGAGCCGATTTATTTAAGATATTAAAATATATGCATAGAAAATTAATATTAGTGCATAGGTATTATTACTGTTGATGCTATAATTCCTCGTCATCGCGGAGTTTTCGAAGTTTATCTTGCCTATCTTACTTACATGGGTTGGCTGACTTACTGCGAAATTTTTAGTAAAATCTATTTAGCGGTTTTTGTGTCAACAACCAAAAGAGTTTCCATTTTCTACATTTAGATTAATTAAATGCAGTGAGGAGTACAATTTCCCCTATTGTACCACACCAATTTTTATAGGGATGATGCGTATTTGCTACCAAGTTACTCAGACAAATTTTGAAGTGGGAATCTGTAACCCTTCTTAAGATATAAGCTTAGAAAATTAATTTTGGAAGTTTATATAGCCTATATTATTTCCCTCGGATGGCATGATGTTCGGTAAAAATCTCAGTAAAATCTGTTCAACGGATTTTGAGTCTAGAAAGAAAACATTTTTTATTTCCTACATGCAGATTAGTTAAATGTAACGGAGAGTGCATTTTCACCTATCTTATTTCGCTCATATTTTTATGAATAATGTGTATTCACTCCTACGATATACAGATACATTTTGAAGGCGTTATCTGTAACCGTTCTTAAGATAAACGCATATTACATGTTCAGAAAATTTGAGGTTTGTTTACTATTGATGCTATAACTCCGCATCCACGCGGAATTTTAAAAGTTTATATAGCCTATGTTACTTTCAGGGCATGCCCCGAGATACAGTGTAAATCTCATTAAGATCTGTTCAGCGGTTTTGGCGTCTATCGGTAACATACAAACAAACAATTTTTTTTCTATTTTATATATATAGATATAAGAGTATAACACTTTATGTTCAAATTACCGAAAAACACAGCGGACGTTCAGAATCAACGTCCTGTCCTGCTGTTCTTCAGGATTAAATATATACGCCATAAAATAAAAATTTTGTAATTTTTCACACAAAAATCAGGGTCCATTTGACCCGCTGGATATTGACCGATCTTTATAAAAACTGGCATGCTTATTCTTTGGCACGACCCCCATTCTCCATGTGAAAATTCGTTCAGGCCATAATTATGGCCGCTGAAGCGACCAGAAAATTGGACAAAAATAAAGTTTTTGGTCCATTTCATCCCCTAAATATTAGCCGATCTTTATCAAAAACAATAGGGGTCTCCATTGGCCAGAACCCATCCTACATGCAAAATTTCGTGAAGATTGGTCCATAACTGTGGCCTGTATCGTGTTTACAAATTATAATGGACAGACGGACGGACGGACACACATGTCTAGATCGACTTAGCTAGTCGAAATATGACGATCGGTATACTTAAAGGTGCGTCTAGGACAAATATTTCGCGGCGTTACAAACTTCTGGGGCTGCACAAAGCTATAATACCCTGACAACATAGTTGTGTAGGGTATAAAAATCCACGCCTTCTTAAGGACCCCCAAAAAATGATTTAAAAAAATCCACGCCTTCTTAAGGACCCCCAAAAAATGATTTAAAAAAATCCACGCCTTCTTAAGGACCCCCAAAAAATGATTTAAAAAAATCCACGCCTTCTTAAGGACCCCCAAAAAATGATTTAAAAAAATCCACGCCTTCTTAAGGACCCCCAAAAAATGATTTAAAAAAATCCACGCCTTCTTAAGGACCCCCAAAAAATGATTTAAAAAAATCCACGCCTTCTTAAGGACCCCCAAAAAATGATTTAAAAAATCCACGCCTTCTTAAGGACCCCCAAAAAATGATTTAAAAAAATCCACGCCTTCTTAAGGACCTCCAAAAAATGACTAAAATAATCCACGCCTTCTTAAGGACCTCCAAAAAATGACTAAACAAATCCACGCCTTTTTAAGGGCCTCCAAAAAATGATTTAAAAAAATCCACGCCTTCTTAAGGACCTCCAAAAAATGATTTAAAAAATCCACGCCTTCTTAAGGACCTCCAAAAAATGATTTAAAAAAATCCACGCCTTCTAAAGGACCTCCAAAAAATGATTTAAAAAATCCACGCCTTCTTAAGGACCTCCAAAAAATGATTTAAAAAAATCCACGCCTTCTTAAGGACCTCCAAAAACTGATTTAAAAAATCCACGCCTTCTAAGGACATCGACGCCTTCTTAAGGACCTCGAAAAAATTATTACAAAATTCACGCCTTTTTAAGGACCTTGAAAAAAATATTTTAAATATCCACGCCTTCTTAAGGACCTTCAAAAAATGATTTAAAAAATCCACGCATTCTTAATAAACTCGAAAACATTATTTTTAAAATACACGCCTTTTAGGGACTTCGAAAGAATTATTTAAAAATTTACGCCTTCTTAAGGACCTTGAAAAATTATTTATAAAATTCACACATTCTCGTAAAATATTTAAATACTAAAAATCTCTAAAAAATATATTAAAAAAGAACCTTAAAAAATAAGGAGAAAAAATCTTCAAGGACTCGAGATAAATATCCAAATATTCCGCCCTTTCCCCACTGGGTTCAAAACTACATTCATTCTTGTTCTTATCCCAACAAACCAAAAGTTTTGAGAATAATATTATATTAGCTTACCAACACAAGCATTAAGCTTGAAAAAGTCTTGAGAAAATCTTGAGAAATGTTTATTAATAATTGTAGAAAAATCAAAACGGAACCCTTATGATACAATTACTTGTGTAATATTACTAAAAGCTTATTCTTGCAATTGGGAAACATTTGTGTACAACAATAGTTTCTCAAGCATAGTTGAAAACTGTTTGTGAATTCACATTTTAACAATATTTTTTTAATATTACTAAAAAAAGCTTAAGAACAACTATTATTATAAGCTTGTTCTCAAGTGGTATTGAGATTTGATTACTGAATGGTATGTTGGGATATATTTATTATTATTTTTTTATAACAATTAATTTCAGACCGTTACATTCCAACTTCATGGGGCAGTGGAGAAGGAAGTTTACGTAGAAAATTTCCCGAGACATGGATATTTCAAAATCTTGAAATGTATGTTCAGAAATCAAAACAAAAGACAAATTTCAAATTAAATAATATTTTTGTTTTAACTTACAGAACAAAGGAATTGACCGCGCTGACATTGGAAATTCCCGATACAATAACCACCTGGCGTATAACCGCATTTAGCATTCACAATAAATCGGGTTTCGGTATTGTCGATGATGCCACAAATATTGTGACCATTAAACCATTCTTTGTAGACATTAACCTTCCCTATGCCGTTAAGAGAGGTGAAATGATTACCCTACCCATAACAGTGTTCAATTATCACAACAAAAGTTTAAGTGCCGAAGTTCAAATGAACAATGAAGAGGAAGCTTTTCGTTTTAAGGCTGGCGACAGGAAAAAACAAATCGAACATGTGAAACTCCCAGCAAATGGCATTGACAGCGTTGCATTTACAATAACACCTCAAGTGGTGGGAGATATAAAATTGAATATACGTGCCACAACATCCGAAGACCTCTCAGATGCTGTTCTCCACTACCTGAAAGTTGAACCTGAAGGTACTGAAAATAGTGATAACCAAGTTATGGTACTTCGAATATCAGCAGCGGAAAATGAATTATTCTCAAATTTAAGTCTCAATGTGCCACCGAATATTGTAGCAGATTCTGAGTATATTACCCTCTCAATGGGTGGTGATGCTCTCGCCGCCACAATGGAAAATCTTAATGGCTTGGTAATGAAACCAACCGGCTGTGGAGAACAAAATATGGTTAATTTTGCACCAAATATTTTGGTACTGCAATACCTCAAGGCCATTGGTAAAGTTGGTCAAGAGAAAAATCTAATTAAACAGGCTAAATCATTTGTGGAAATCGGCTATCAACAGGAATTGTCATTTCGTCACGCATCCGGGGGTTATAGCGTCTTCGGCGAACGTCGTGATAAGGATGCAGCCAGTACATGGTTAACAGCCTATGTTATACGTTTCTTTCTTAAAGCCGCCAAATTTGTTTCAATTGAGGAGAAAATTATCACCAGCGGTTTGGATTATTTAGCCAGCAATCAGAAAGCGGATGGAGATTTTGCTTACACGGGATATCTATTCTATCCGGCACAACAAAATCGTTTTGGTTTCACGGCATTTGTTCTGATGACTTTCATGGAGAACAAGGTAAGATAACAGATTTTATGGGTAATATTACCGAAAAAGTTAACTTAGCTGACGTCGAAGCTCACATCTTTATTCGAGAATTAAATCTTAATAGTAAGAATAAAAAAATGTTGAAGTCTCAAGTACTTCAGGCGCCAATTTTTTAAACAATTTTTTCGAGGTCCTTACGAATTTAATTTTTTTATATAATTTCTTCGAGGTCCTTAATAAGGCATGGAATTTTTAAATATTTTTTACGTCCTTTAGAAGGCGTTGATTTTTTTTATAATTTTTTAAAGTTCTTTAGAAGGCGTGGATTTTTTTATTAACTTTTTTAAGTTTTTTAGAAGTCGTGGATTTTTTAATAATTTTTTAAGCCTTTACAATGGTCCCATATATAGTATTTAACGATTTCCCAGTTTTAATATTATTGAGACAAAATTGTGTACAATCTACAAAATTGGGCCTAAACTCATGTGTTCACATTTAAATATAGTTCATAAGTGAGACGAAATTTTGTTCAACTTAATTCAGCAAGATTTCCATGTATTTTTCTTTTGTTTTTCCAGAAATATACCAAAAACTATACAGCCACCATTGATAAGGGCCTTCAGTTTTTGAGTAAGAATTTGGAAAGGGATCATGATGTCTATGCCTTGTCAATTATCGCTGCGGCATTTGGAATGGCTAAACATGTAGATTCCACAAAAGTTCGTGATAAACTATTAGCAAAGGTCAATGATAAGGATAAACAACGTTGGTGGTCGGCTAATGATAAAATGGTGAAAAGGATGTTGAAATTACTGCATACGCCCTCCTGGCTCTTTTGGACATTTCTCCGCGTGAAGATCATTCTGCAATTTTTCAATGGCTAATGCAACAACGAAATAGTAAAGGTGGTTTCCAATCAACACAAGATACGGTGGTGGGTCTACAGGCCATTGTAAAATATTCACAATTGAATGCGGCCAATGGAAATAACCAACAAATGGCATTACGCTATGCAGCCTTGGATGGTAAGGGAAACGAAGTAAAAGCTGATGATTTTGCCATAAATGGTGAAAATAATCTCATACTGCACACGCATAAGGTAAGGGTAGGGAATTTTGTAGGGAAAAATAAGAATTTAAAAAAATATTTATTTTCTTACAGTTACCCCGTTCTACACGTTCTGTTAATTTCAAAGCTACCGGCAGTGGTCAAACCATGTTGCAGCTCTCCTCGCTTTACTACATGGCTGAACAAATGCCAATGCAACATTTCCGCATTCAAGCGAAAGCCCAATTTATGAATGTACAAGAACTTAATGTTGAGATTTGTTTTACTTATTTGGAAACGATTTCATTCGCCAACTCAAAATCGGATGATAAAACGTCATTTTCCAATATGGTTATTATGAAATTAAATTTACCATCTGGTTATCGCACCGATGCTGAATTTAGTCAATCGCTTTTAGAAAACGAACTAATTCAACGCATTGAATCAATGAATTCCGAATCAAGTTTAAATATATATTTTGATAATTTAGAAGCTGGCGATGAGAATTGTATTACAATTTTAGCTGATAAGACGCATGATGTCATGAATCGCAAACCGGTTGCCATAGAAATGTATGATTATTATAATGCCAGTCGTTCGAACACTGTATTTTATACTATTGATGATAAGTGATTGATTAAAATGTGTCAAGTGCAATATTATTAGAATGAATTGAATTCTATAAATGGGATTCTATTTGACATAATTTGTGTTCGAGGAAATTTATAAATAAACATGCATTTAATTGAATGTGTTTCCTCTTAATATTTGTTTTTAACGCCAAAAAATAAACAATTATTCCCTCCACCATAGGAATGCTGACACTTACTTCCAATGAAGCCCAGTAAGGAAAATTAATAAGTAAACAGCAAGGAAAGTAGTAAAATCGGACTGGGCCGACTATATGATACCCTTCTCCACTTTGGTATACTCTACATTTGTATCCTTCTTTTCGAAAGAACATTGGCATGTAAATCGTGCACCAAAGTCCCTATATATCTTTCGATTTGCACCAAATTTGGCATAACGTACTGAATTGAGCCTAAAATTATGTCTGCCAAGTTTCGTGAAAATCGGTACAGATTTAGATATAGCTACCATATATAGTTTCGTCCGATTTCATGTAAATGGTACACCAAAGTCCCTATATATCCTTGATTTGAACGAAATTTGGCATAACGTGCTGTATTGAGTCCAGAATGATGTCTGCCAGGTTTCGTGAAAATTGGTCAAGATTTAGATATAGCTCCCATATATAGTTTCGCCCGACTTCATGTAAATGGTGCCCCAAAGTCCCTATATATCCTTCGATTTGCACGAAATTTGGCAGAGCGTAATGAATTAGGTATACAGTGATGTCTGCCAAGTTTCGTGAAAATCGGTCTAGATTTAGATATAGCTCCAATATATAGTTTCGTCCCATTTCATGTAAATGGTGCACCAAAGTCCCTAGATATCCTTCGATTTGCACGAAATTTGGCATAACGTATAGAATTGAGCCTAGAATGATGTCTGCCAAGTTTCATAAAAATCGGTCCAGATTTAGGTATAGCTCCCATATATAGTTTCGTTCGATTTCATGTAAATGGTGCAACAAAGTTCCTAAATATCTTTCGATTTGCACGAAAACTGGTACAGCCTAATCATTTAGGTCTAGAATGATGTCTGCCAAGTTTCGTGAAAATCGGTCTAGATTTAGATATAGCTCCCATATATAGTTTCGTCCCATTTCATGTAAATGCTGCACCAAAGTCCCTAGATATCCTTCGATTTGCACGAAATTTGGCATAACGTATTGAATTGAGCCTAGAATGATGTCTGCCAAGTTTCATAAAAATCGGTCCAGATTTAGGTATAGCTCCCATATATAGTTTCGTTCGATTTCATGAAAATGGTGCAACAAAGTTCCTAAATATCTTTCGATTTGCACGAAAATTGGTACAGCCTAATCATTTAGGTCTAGAATGATGCCTGCCAAGTTTCGTGAAAATCGGTCCAGAGTTAGATATAGCTCCCATATATAATTTCGTCCGATTTCATGTAAATCGTGCACCAAAGTCCCTATATATCTTTCGATTTGCACCAAATTTGGCATAACGTACTGAATTGAGCTTAAAAGTATGTCTGCCAAGTTTCGTGAAAATCGGTCCAGATTTAGATATAGCTCTCATATATAGTTTCGTCCGATTTCATGTAAATGGTGCCCCAAAGTCGCTATATATCTTTCGATTTGCACGAAATTTGGCATAACGTACTGTATTGAGTCTAGAATGATGTCTGCCAGGTTTTTGGCATATCCTACTGAATTAGGTCTAGAATGATGTGTGCTAAGTTTCCCGAAAATCGGTTCAGATTTAAATATAGCTCCCATATATAGTTTTGCCCGATTTTAGGTAAATGGTCTACCAATGTCCCTATATATCTTTCGAGTTGCACGAAATTTGGTATACATATAGAATTAGGTCTAGAATGATGTGTGCTTAGTTTTGTGAAAATCGGTCTAGATTTACAAATAGCTCCCATATATAGTTTCGCACGATTTTAGGTAAATTTGTGCACCAAAGTTCAAGAAAATAATTAGATTTGTTCGAATTATGGCATAGCGTATTGAATTAAGTCTAGAATGATATGTGCTAAGTTTCGTGAAAATCGGTTCAGATTTAGTTATAGCTTCCATATGTAGCTTCGCCCGATTTTAGGTAAATGGTGCACCAAAGTCACTGAAAATCATTCGATTTGCACGAATTTTGGCATAGCGTATTGAATTAAATCTGGAATGATGTGTACACCTCCTATATATATTTTCGTTCGATTTTAAATAAATTGTGCACTAAAGATCCACAGCTAGGCCGATTGACACAACGTATTGAAATTAATATAAATTAATCTCTTGCAAGTTTACTTCAAATCAGTTCAGATATAGATATCTCGGAGCTTTCATATATAATTTCGACTTAGTTATTGAGATTAAATTTTTAACAGTGCAGCATACCGAATAGCGTGTGTCAAGTTTGCTTTAAATCGATTTACACAAATCTGTCCCACTGTGCGCAAACGACTCTAAACTTGCCCAAATGAAATGAAATTTAGCATAGGTTCCAGAAAGACATATTTATATCACATATTTAAGTTCGTTCAATTTCATGTCAAAATTCCTTCAAAAAGGCGACGTCGTTTCGGATAAATATGTACCCAAAGTGTTGAAGGGTATCATATAGTCGGCCCAGTCCGACTTTAATACTTTCCTTACTGGTTTTAATTTGTTTCTTATTCGCCAGGAATTCGATATGAAAAATTTAGAAGAAAATTCGCATAAATATTTATCAATATCGAGAAATAAACGGTTTTATCAAAAATTGGACCTATATATACAACGGACAAATTTTTATATAAGCCTTCAGAATACCGAACATGGTATGGTACTGTTCTATTGGGGCTATATCAAACCAAAAACTAGCATTGATAACTTTTAGTAGGAAGATTTGACAACCCTTGAGAAGCTGAAAAAAATAAGCCAATCGGGTTAAAAACTTGTCCAAAACACCGAATAATATGGATTATCATTATTTGGGGGGTAAGGACATTTTCTACTCAATGAGAATCCAAAATATTAAATTGCTCCCACAGTGGTTGAAACACGCACTCAAGACCCCGTAAAAATCTTGATCTATGGGTTATAGCGTTAAAAGGTGACTTCCCTAAAAGGTAGACGAATATTGATATTTTAGGTAGGAAGATCTAAAATCACACGACAACCCAACCTAACAAATTACCACCAATTAGGTAGAAACATGTGCCGGTAGTCATCAAAATACTAAATATTGGGGTTAACCCGAAACATAAGCTAATATTGATAATTTTTCATAAGCAGATCTGTTTGAATTCAAAATACCAAATTGCAGCTGATTATGTTGAAAGGCGACTAAAATCACCAAAATACCGAATAATGAGGGGTACCGGTATATGGGGGCTACCCTAAAAAATGGACCAATATTAATAATTTTTTGGCAGGAAGATTTACTTCCATGTCACAGCACAACTAATAAATTATAACCAGTTAGGTAGAAAATGTGTCCAAAACGGAAACATGGGCTAATAGGCAAAGGGGGCAAGCATAACGAGTAGAAAAATATTAATTATTTTTGGTAGGAAGATTTGATACGCAATGTGAACCAAACCTAGAAAATTAAAGCCAATTCGGTAGAGAAACGTGCAAAAAAATCTACATAACACCGAAAAAAACCTTGTTTTCCATTAACACGAAACCCGGTAAAACTACATATAGGAGCCGTATCGATACGCTGTGCGAACTTACTTGTCAACCGATCAAACTTGGGGTCTTTGGGAGTTGAATCTAAATCTGAAACGATTATAAACTATTTCAATAGGGTTTACCATTCCATTCGTATAATAAATGCAACCTGTACTTTGCGAACAAAAAATACATGGACCGACATTCATAATCCCAAAAAAAAACGTTGGGTCTATTTGTTCAATTGAGGATGTTATAAAAATATGCACCATGTACCAAAGTGTGATGTAGGGCATACAGACGTAGCGATAACGTGACTTCATAGGTAGACATGACACATTAATGGATCCAACGAATACTGAATTCTAATTTGATTTTTTATGGTGGCTGCTAAATATAATTGCAAATCACGTTTCTCTACCATAGCTTATCACATTTTGTAATGTTTCTTATAAGTAAATATATTAATTTCATATCAATGCATTCAGTCGCTTAAAGACCACTCGCTAGAAATGCGGCTACATGGGATTTTGCTGCAGCTTACTCTGCCCCTCTTAATTACATCAACAATAGCGGAAAGGTCAG